GTTGGACGGTAGTTCACACATTATCTGTAATATTCAATAAAGTTTGTCCATATTGTTGGACGGTAGTTCACACATTATCTGTAATATTCAATAAAGTTTGTCCATATTGTTAGACGGTAGTTCACACATTATCTGTAATATTCAGTAAAGTTTGTCCATATTGTTGAACAGTAGTTCACACTTTATCTGTAATATTCAGTAAAGTTTCACTTATGATAGTGTACGATATACAAATCTAGAGTAATTTTTCTTTTGTATCTGACGTCAACGCACGTGAATTCACCTGCCGGTGAGTGCCACCTGAGGTCACACAGGCGGAGAACTACTGCTACCGCCACTGTCTCAAGCAAATCGCAAGGTTCAGCCAGTTCTGATTGCATACGCACTCAACCGCAAAGAAACAGCTGCTCTGTCTTAATTCTTTGATCTCTCGGACTTTAATACCGAGAAATGTCTTTTGGAATTTTGTTTATTTTTTCACACAAGAGACGACCCGGCCCGTTCTCCCAAAGTGTCCCGCCTTGACTTTGGGCGATCATCTTGAGGTACAACGAACAGGGCGGGGTGGGCTCGGTGTGCCAATCGTTATGCAGCAGAGCACCGATCCCAAGTTAGGAGGGGCCGAAATGGTCACCGTCATCTTCAAAACTTGCACTACCAGAAGAGCAGGTCAAATGTGTCCGAGAAAAGAGGTGCTTGAGAACTTATCACGCACGTGCATTTTAAAATACGTTGAAGCTTTAGCAAATAACTGACTGAAAAGATATTGAAATGGACTTCTCACCTGTCTAATTATTGAAATGGACTTCTCACCTGTCTAATTATTTTCTTTATTTGAAACGTATCTTCAGACCATTTTCACCAGTATATTCACGACCGTATGATAGTTCCAGTAATTGTTCTACATATATTCACGATCGTATGACAGTTCCAGTAATTGTTCTACATATATTCACGATCGTATGATAGTTCCAGTAATTGTTCTACATATATTCACGACCGTATGACAGTTCCAGTAATTGTTCTACATATATTCACGATCGTATGACAGTTCCAGTAATTGTTCTACATATATTCACGATCGTATGATAGTTCCAGTAATTGTTCTACATATATTCACGATCGTATGACAGTTCCAGTAATTGTTCTACATATATTCACGATCGTATGACAGTTCCAGTAATTGTTCTACATATATTCACGATCGTATGACAGTTCCAGTAATTGTTCTACATATATTCACGATCGTATGACAGTTCCAGTAATTGTTCTACATATATTCACGATCGTATGATAGTTCCAGTAATTGTTCTACAATGGAAACTTGTGTTCTTATCCCGCCGGAGTTCAGTTTAGTTTTGAGCGCCGTGAATACTGGAAAGAATGTTAACACTTTGTACGAGATGGACGTCAGCGTGTGGAGCAATCAGCTCGTACCTCTAGGATCTAAGTTCTCTCCATTCCAAGGTACAATACGACTAGATCGATTGGAGTTATACAGCGTTCTCGATGTCAATGATGTAAGTACAGAACATTTTACACTCGTGTTTAGTCTATAATACAGCAATATTTATCTCCAGAAACTAAAACTATTTTTGTTTTTTTTTGCTTTATTGTGAGCTTGACACTAAGCCTTGCATCATAAGCGACCATTCAGATTCGTTGCTCATAGTGTGCCAGATTTTTGTGGAAACAAAGTAGGATTCGAACACTAATTTTTGCCATAGGACGGATTGGTAATTTCATGTCATTATGTTTTCGGTAAAGATCGTCTTCTCGAAAAACAATAAAAAATGATAATATTAAAGTTTAGCTTCTAACAAACTCCTTTACTATATTAAAATTGATTTTATGGAAATAAAGTTAACTGTTTATAAACGTTACGCCCGTTTCATGGTAGACAATCTTAGATGGAAATAAAGTTAACTGTTTATAAACGTTACGCCCGTTTCATGGTCGACAATCTTAGATGGAAATAAAGTTAACTGTTTATAAACGTTACGCCCGTTTCATGGTCGACAATCTTAGATGGAAATAAAGTTAACTGTTTATAAACGTTACGCCCGTTTCATGCTCGACAATCTTAGATGGAAATAAAGTTAACTGTTTATAAACGTTACGCCCGTTTCATGGTCTACAATCTTAGATCTTTGTTTATCCATTTTGTTTTGCATTTAGGTCTTAATACCTCATTGTATCCTTAATCCAACTTTTAATACCTCATTGTAACCTTAATCCAACTTTTAATACCTCATTGTAACCTTAATCCAACTTTTAATATCTCACTGTATGTCTGATTGAACTTTTTAATACCTCACTGTATGTCTAATCCAATTTTTAATTCCTCACTGTATGTTTGATCCAATTTTTAATACCTGACTGTATGTCTGATTCAACTTTTTAATACCCCACTTTATGTCTGATACAGCTTTTTAATACCTCACTTTAGGTCTGATCCAATTTTTAATACTTCACTTTATGTCTGATCCAATTTTTAATACCTGACTGTATGTCTGATTCAACTTTTTAATACCCCACTTTATGAATGATACAGCTTTTTAATACCTCACTTTATGTCTGATCCAATTTTTAATACCTATCTATTTGTCTGATCCAACTTTTTAATACCTCACTGTACGTCTGACCCAACTCCATAATACCTCACCGTACGTCTGACCCAACTCCATAATACCTCACCGTACGTCTGACCCAACTCCATAATACCTCACTGTACGTCTGACCCAACTCCATAATACCTCACTGTACGTCTGACTCAAGTTTTTAATACCTCACTGTATATCGATCCATTTTTAATACCTCACTGTACGTCTGACCCAACTCCATAATACCTCACTGTACGTCTGACCCAACTCCATAATACCTCACTGTACGTCTGACTCAAGTTTTTAATACCTCACTGTACGTCTGACTCAAGTTTTTAATACCTCACTGTATATCGATAACTTTTTAATACTTCACTGTACGTCTGACCCAACTCCATAATACATACGATTTATTTAAAAGCTTTAGTACTATATGAATGAATCTTAAGATAGTATAACGTATAAAAACTTATACAGTGTGTCTGTAAATTATAGTCATCAATTGTTTACGTGTGATGTGTATATATATGTATATTCGTATCCTGGAATAGTGAGAAAACGTTTAAACGTAAAACCATTACAGAAGGTAAGCTGACATGTTACAACTCTTGACATGTTACAACTCTTGCGGTAAGTGAACTGCTTATTTATTATTTCTGTTTGTCATGATGAGCTATCTGAAGAAGGGATGTGTAAAACCTGTTGCGGAAAGTCCTCCACGCGCTGGAGGAACTGTATTAAAGTAGAACACCCCACACTTCCCTTGATTTACTGGCTGAGCTCATAAGCTGAGCCTGTATGACGGTTTTATGCAAATCGTGACTCGTGTTGGAGGAGGAAAATGAGGGACGAGGTAAATATCAAAATAAGAAACACAAATACAAAAATGTTGCTCGGTTTATGTTTATAATAGTTTCTGTAATAATTAAATTACTAAATAATTATACGTAATGGGTCCAGCATTTTAATGCTTTAATATATGTCTGATCTAACTTTTTAATACCCGACTGTATTTTTTGATCCAACTATTTAATACATCTATATATCTGATCCAACTTTTTAATGCTTTAATATATGCCTGATCCAACTTTTTGATGCTTTGATATATGCCTGATCCAACTTTTTGATGCTTTGATATATGCCTGATCCAACTTTTTAATACCTGACTGTATTTTTTGATCCAACTATTTAATACATCACTATATGGCAGATCCAACTTTTTAATGCGCCACTATATGTCTGATCCAACTTTTTAATGCGTCACTATATGTCTGATCCAACTTTTTAATGCGTCACTATATGCCTGATCCAACTTTTTAATACCTGACTGTATTTTTCATCCAACTATTTAATACATCACTATATGGCAGTTCCAAGTTTTTAATGCTTTAATATATGCCTGATCCAACTTTTTAATGCTTTAATATATGCCTGATCCAACTTTTTAATATCTGACTGTATTTTTTGATTCAACTATTTAATACACCACTATATGCCTGATCCAACTTCTTGATACATCACTATATGCATGATCCAACTTTTTAATACCTGACTGTATTTTCTGATCCAACTATTTAATACATCACTATATGGCAGATCCAAGTTTTTAATGCATCACTATATGTCTGATCCAACTTTTTAATACCTTACCAAATGCCCGACTTAACTTTTTAATGCCTCAATATATATGTACAGAGAAGACACATGTCACATGTCTTTACTTTTTAATCAGACTGATCAAATGGTTAAACAACACAGGTAATTATATCTCGCTATTTATATCACAAAAAGACTGATAATATCCATATTTGAACCGTAAAAAAGGATTTGTTAGAATTATTATCAGTCTTAATGTGTTGTAAGGTTATTCAGATCACATAAAACATTGTGTACACAAAATAATGCAGATCATAATTATCATTTCTGGCGGTTATTTTGATGAAAAATAATTTCTAGAGATATAATTAATCATCAGGGATGTCCAAAGATTAATAAATCTTCCTTCGCCCCGCTCGAGCCTGGTGTATTTTGAATTTAGCACGTGGATTAGGCTTTTATAGCCTGACTGAGATTATACGGTTAATGAAGAATAACAAAAAACAACAACATTAAACGAGGCGTGAGGATGGCAGAAGTGAAGGCAGGCGATCTTGAGGCATGTAGTGGTAATGAAGAAGAGGAAGAGTCGACAAATTACGACAACAAATAGGCCTTGTCAGGGATCAGTAGATCCAAGTGCCTTGTCGGGATCAGTAGATCCAAGTGCCTTGTCGGGGATCAGTAGATCCAAGTATCTTGTCAGGGATCAGTAGATCCAAGTATCTTGTCAGGGATCAGTAGATCCAAGTGCCTTGTCAGGGATCAGTAGATCCAAGTGCCTTGTCGGGATCAGTAGATCCAAGTATCTTGTCAGGGATCAGTAGATCCAAGTATCTTGTCAGGGATCAGTAGATCCAAGTGCCATGGCTAAGATCTATAGATCCAATGCCTAAAGATTTTGGTGTGGGTGAAAACTGGAGTACCCCGAGAAAACCCATATTCACTAGTCGGGACCGATTATAGTCCGATTAATGTTCTAACGCAGGTCATCCTTCTGCCAAGAGAGACTAGAGGGAAGGCAGTCAGTCAACAGCACACCTGACACGAATCTGGGGTTGCGCTTGTCTGGTCGAATAGTGGGATTTCACGGTCACTCTAATAACGCATCCATGGCCAAAAACTGCAAGCAATGGATCCTCAGATTCACGATCCGGGCACGCTGACCACTATGTCACTTGAAGGTATCGAGAGTTAGTAATATTCACCTAACTGGATTTAAAATTAAACGAATTATGAAGTTAGTTTTAAAAATATAAACAAGTTGCAGAAAGTCTTAAGTTTCCTTAAATTGAGTTTTTTTTTTATATTCAGTTTTCATTTAATAAACTGCTACAAATGGTCGACAATATAGTCCTGCAACGTACGTTTACAAGTAAGAGAGGATATATTTCTGTGAAAATCGATGATGTCTTGTGGTAGGTCACAAATCACTTAACTGTGCGAATCCGTAATTGTTAACATCATTTCTGTCTATAAGAGTAGATTACATTGGGATTGTTAACAGTCATAATTTGGGTGATGTAACAACCCACCTTTACACAATGCCGTATGGTGCAGAACACGTAACA